GTTTATATTATAAATTTAATAGTGTATTGTATTAATAACCTTTGTTTCTAACATCTCAATATTAAGCAAATATTTAAAAGTAACAAAAATACCAATTAATTGAAAAAGCTATAAAAAAATGATTAAAATTATAATTGTAATGTTTTTAATGAATATTCAAATTCACTTTTGCTTTAAGTCTTCTAAAAAGAAACTTCCTTTGGATTTAAACAATGGTTTTAAATCTTTCCCTTAATGATTAATGAACTATCCTTATAGGATAAGTGTTCCTGATGCTTCAAATAAAGGATTCTAACATATTCTAAGTATTGTAAGATCAGGATTAACTAAATAATAATTAATAATAAATACCATTTGGCAATAAGAAGCTATTTTGAAGAGGTATGTTAAACTAGGCAAGCAAATCTTTATAGTTACTATCTGATTGAAGTATTTCTTTTGATGTTTGTACATTCCAAAGTCGGATAGAGTTATCATCACTACCAGATGCTAATGTATTTCCATCAGGGGAGAAATTGACTGAAGAAACTGTATTAGAATGACCATCTAATTTGGCTTTTAATTATCCTGTCTTAACATCCCATAAACGGATAGATGTATCAAAACTGCCAGATGCTAATGTAGTACCATCAGGAGAATAACTAATTGAAAAAACAGTTGATGAATGACCATCTAATTTGGCTTTTTATTATCCAGGTGATACTGCACCGATATTGGTGAATTTGAAAATTTCCAAAATCTAAAGGAAAATGTTAAATTTTCATTCATTTAAAGGAAAAATTCACTACCATTTGAAAAATTAACCTTTAAAATTATTCTTAACTTAAGAAATAACATTTTTAGGTATTTCTAACAAGGTAAATGTATTCCTAATACCTTTTTTGTTTGTTTAGGGTTGGACAAAGCCCATTAAAATCTGAGAAGTATTTCAAGATTGGAATAATTAACCATGCTAAAATGAAGAGTAAATATATTATGATATATATAGATTGAATCTCATTCAAAATTGAAATTACATACATTTAATTGAGGTTCCAATTACTTTAAATTAAAAATAGGTGCTTGCACAAAAAAATACATATTTATCATTAGGAAAAAAAAATATTGAGCAATTAAGTTCCAAATTCACTTAGATTACATTTGATTAAATCAGTAATTTAAACACTTGTATCATTCCATATCCTCTATAAAATAAATTCATAAAATCTATATCTTAATGTTGCACTTTTTTTTATATAAAAACAATTTCTTATTTACATGTTTTACCTAGTCATTCTTGATTTTTATACATAAATTCATTTTTTTAATTTATTGATCAAATTAATCCTATTAGCTTAATTAGCTTGATACTTGAACATACAAACAAAATAGAAGAAAATTTTGAATCATATTTATATGTGGAGCAAACTTATATGAAATATGCAACATTTGCGGGGGATTGATGGTAAGCCTTCAATTTTGATAAATGTTGGATAGAGTTCTATCAGCTGTAATTAATGAATGCCATTTCCAAAAATTTGATTTTACTTTAACTGATCATAAGAATTAATGTCTTTTACTTTATACATCCGTTCTCACTCATAAAATTAACATAAAATCAGGCTATAAATTACAGGATTCCACATATAGCATGAATTAAATATAGCTTTTCTCGGATATAGAATTTAGCCCTTCATTTGGCTTTAACTTTTAACCTCTATGAATATTCTCCAGATCATTTAGAAATGAGTGAAATAACTTTTTAGTTAGGATGTGAGGAAATTTTTCAGCCAAGCATTAATTATGTAAATCGACCTCATTAGTTTAAAATTAATTTTTATTTTTTTGTTAGTTATTTATTTATTAGAAAGTAAAATTACTAACAAAATAAAAATTGTCAAAATAAATTCAATATTGGATAGACACTAAAAGCTGAGCTATCATATTCCCTTTGTATCTTAAAGCAAAGTGGGCATTCATTAATCAATTAAGTCAAGCGCAAAAGTTAGAAAGCAAAAAAAGAGCATAAAATAAATGAAAGATCATCAAAAGGCAAAAGTATAAAGTTGACTAAAAAAAAAAACAAACTAGGTTCCTTTATAAATCTAAAATTAACATAATAACAAGCATGAGATAAGTCCAATAATTAGGAGAGCGTATTTTGAAACCTACCTGTGCTAAAACTAAGCTCATTGTAGGGTCCTTATGAAGATTTGTGAAAAAAAGGTCGGATATATTTATTTTGTTAAGAAATTTTATTGTTAAAAAGCTAGCAAATATCTCTAAATATATGTACATTTATAAGTCAATTAATCAATATAAGAAGGATTTATGCATATGGGTATATCGCTTGAAAGGTTTCTAAAGCCCATGTTTGCCCTTCAATACCTCCATAGAAGATTTGTTATCAAATATAACGAAAGAGTCAAGAAGTTCTCTTGCATATTACATCTTTTTTGTTGACATAAGTTGATTCCATGAACTGGAAATTATTTTTAATAATTATTAAACATAGAAATTTTATGTTTGAATTGATAAGAAGGAATTAAGAGAGTCCCAAATATATTTAAAATACAAAAATTACTTTGTCAGAATTCTATTCACCCATATCTTAAATATAAATTCCAAATATCTGACTAAAACACAATTTTTACTTTCTAATGTTGAGTTGTCATTTTTTTTTTGCAACTATATATTACACAACAGTCTATATATTATGCTAGATTTTTACTATCTTACCTTTATACAGTAAGTTCTGTCAACTGTGTGAAGGCTTGAATTTTAAGATTTATCAAAGTTTATCACATTATTAATTAATTGATAAAAGAAAAATTCAAAAATGATTTTCAAAAGTTATAATTTTAGATTAATATTTTGAGTTAAAATCGTTTTTGTTATCCTAGAATCTGGTTGGTTAGTTTCTTTGTTTATTTATTGAAATAATAATCTTATATTTGAATACACTAGGAGAGTTTGAGGGTTACTCAAAAGATTTGTTGTTTATGTGTTGCATTCACAATTTTTCAAGAAAGTCATATAAAACTTATTTAAATTGGAACCCATAAACTCAAATTTTCTTATTTGTTGAAAATTAATACTTCAAGATGCAAAGTATAAAGTCATAAATCTACCATTAATATTCGCCGCATAATATCTGAAAGAAAAGACCCAGAGAGTTTTCTTTATCACAAAAAGTCAATTTTCTTTTAATCTGGAGTTTTTTATTTTTAATTCTTTTCTAATTATAATATAATTGCTAATAAAAGTAAAATAAAAATAAGAAGCTGATTCCAATGTAGCTCCATCAAAACAGAAGCAACTGAACAAATCTAATTAGTATGACCTAGAAGTCCCGACATTTGTTTCCCTGTTTTTAGATTCCATAAACACAAAAACTTACCACTCTATTTAGCTATTGTAGTACCATTAGATGAGAAGCAAATTTATTTTACATCCTTGTTGGTTTTATATTTAGACTTAATTCTTCCTGTCTTAATATCCCACAAACGAATGAAATTGTCTTCACTAATTGATACTATGGATTTACTATCTGAAGAAAGCAAATGAATTAACCCTACCGCTATTATCATTTAATTCCATTCTCTCATTCATTTTTAAATTCTTCCATTTACTATTAAACAATTTTGCCCATTTAAATTTATTGCACCAATAAATGACATTTTCAAAATTAGTATCCCCTCAAGTCACATTTGACAAAATTCGCTCCTCAAAGTGTGGTAATTTAAATGGTAATTTTTTCAAAAGATTATGCCTTCAGGTCAACCTACAATGAAGAGAATTTGACCCACTTGAATGAATTTATTATCGATGGAAGTGAGAAGGACTAAATATTGTCAGAATTCAATTCTATTTTATTATTTTCTTAATTAAAGCATATTTGTATTCTATAAATTGTTCAGGAGAGTAATTATTAATAGTGAAGTCATGGCTATTAATTGTTTCATAAACTGTATGAATGCTCTAAATAGCTTGTTTCATCTAGTTTAGCTTCTTTTATTTATCTTGCTGTGATAAATTTTAAACTAAAATGTGTTCTACCCAACATTCTTGGTTTTCATCTTGTGATAAAAAGCTTAGGGAATCTGAAATTGCCTCTTTTTTAAGCATTTCAATTATCAATTACAATATTTTGCTATCAATAAATTTCAAGTAAGCTAATACTTCATAAAAATCATCTTGGTTCTATAATACTTTTGAATTCATTTGGAAATAAATTATTGAGAAATTCTCAGACTGCTTTCAGCTTAAATATTTATTTTTCATAATATTTAAGGAAACTAAGGCCTAAACTCTTTAAATTGTAGTAAAAGATATTGTTAGTTTTAAAGAGAACATAGTACTATTGGGATTTGCATTCATTGAAAAATAATGGAGAAAGAATGAAGGTAAAAGTCCTAATAAAGCCTGGAGATAATCGATAATTGATGAAACTTTTTCAGAGGAAGCTTATCTTTATGAGATAAGAATGATTAAGAATATTTATCAAGAAGCCCGAGCCCCAAACAGACATATCACAAATGTAAAGTTTAAGTTATTCATATAAATTATATGTTCCTATTGGTAAACTATTTGTAATTTACCCAATTTATTTGAATTAGCTGAATTAATTTCATAAAAGCAAGATTAATTAATGAAACAATAATGGTCATGAAATTTATGATGAAGAAAAATTTGGTTTTTAAAAATATAATTGATTGGAAAGTAAATTATTGAAAAAGTACACAAGAGTTTTGTGACAAATTTGAATTTGTTGATTTAAATTTAAGCTGATAAAAATGAATTTCACATTTCATTCTTGAAAAATAGTAATAAATAAATTTAGAAAAAGATTTCCCTTAAATATATCAGGATTTGAAACATTCTGGGGGGAAGCAACAAGTGAATTGGAACAACAACTAAGAATAATGTTAAGAGAGTATTCTGTCAAATCATATTAATGTATTTCCATTTCTTTTAATGAGTACAAATTAACAACAGATAATGAGCAAAAATATATTTCTTCGTTTCTTGAGAATGGTGACAATAATTCTCCTTTCGATAAGAGTTCGATGAAAAAAATTTAAATTTATGCTATTATTAGGAAGAATTTTAAATAAGGTTATGCTGTGATAAACCTTAACTATTACTAATTTGAAATTGAATTTTTTTTTTAAAACACCCTAATTATAGAAAAAAGATAAACCTTAATAAAAAGTTAAATCTCAAAAAAATTGTGGTTTATTACAAATATAAGAAAAAACTTAATAATAGTTATAAGACAAAATAACAATTCTATTTAGTAAAATGACCAAAAATTTTAAAGAAATTTCGAAATTATTGATCATATTAGAGGATCAGATAGAATTAACTAGAACTGTGAACCCAACAGAATTATCAAGTTGGAAATCAAAAAGGTATGCTAAATTCTTTTGTGAAAAATTTAAACAAGGAAATGGAGATAATCTGAAGTTATCATTGACCAAGTAAGTTTAGGCAAGTGCTTGCCTTAAAGTAGTCAGGCATCATCGTCAATACTAAAGAAAGAATCAATTGAATTGATCTTATATATGATGTTTGAATTGATAATTATCTATTCTCTAAGTCAATAATAATAATCTTATTCATTTAGCATTTTTGTCTTATTATGATTTTTTTAATCACACATAAATATTAATAATATTCATAAATTGTATATGGAATTTGATTAATAATACCAAAAATTTTGGATAAGTAACTAAAAAGTAAAATTATAAACCTCAAGTTTATTGCTTTAGTAGATAATATAACTTACAGAATAAATAAGGTTAATATTTCATAAGAAAGCATTTCACATAAAAGCAAGTTTAAAATAAATAAATTCTAAGATGAATAATGAGAAGCGGGTTTTGACTAAAGGGTAAAGATATAGAATAGAAAATAGGGTGTAATCCAATAAGTTAAAAGAAAAGAAATAAATGAGTGAATAAATAAAACAATATTAAGAAAAGAAAAACAAAAAAAGATTGTATTCAGCAATTTAAAACAATCCAGAAAATTCTGACTATTATAATGGCAAAGGTACTCGTAACTATTAATAACTTCTTAGCTAATACATTATGTAAAATGTATAGATTTGAGGAGGCTTTGAAAAATTATGATTTGGCAATTGAAAACGATCCAGAAAATTCTGACTATTATAATGACAAAGGTATTAATAACTATTGATTATTTCTTAGCAAATACATTATATAAAATGAATAGATTTGAGGAGGCTTTGGAAAATTATGATTTGGCAATTTAAAACGATCCAGAAAATTCTGACTATTATAATGGCAAAGGTACTAGTAACTATTGATGATTTCTTAGCTATTACTTTATATACAATGAACAGATTTGAAGAGTCTTTAAAATATCATAATTCAGCAATTTAGAACGATCCATAAATTTCTGACTATTATATTCACAAAGGTACTAGTATCTATTGATGATTTCTTAGCTGTTACATTATATAAAATGAATAGATTTGAGGAGACTTTGGAAAATTATGATTTAGCAATTTAAATAAATCCAGAATATTCTCACTATTATTATGGCAAAGGTATGAGTAACTATTGATTATTTCTTAGCAAATACATTATATAAAATGAATAGATTTGAGGAGGCTTTGGAAAATTATGATTTGGCAATTTAAAACTCTCCAGAAAATTCTGACTATTATAAATGCAAAGGTACGAGTAATTATTGATGACTTCTTAGCTATTACATTATAAAAAATGAATAGATTGGAGGAGGCTTTGGAAAATTATGATTCAGCAATTTAAAAAAATCCAGAAAATTCTAACTATTATAATGACAAAGGTATTATGATGACTTATTAGCTAATTTATTAAATGAAATGAATAGATTTGAGGAGGCATTGGATAATTATGATTAAGCAATTTAAATAAATCCAGAGAATTCTGACTATTATAATTGCAAAGGTACTAATAACTATTAATAACTTCTTAGCTAATACATTAAATAAAAAGAATAGATTAAAGGAGGCTTTGTAAAATTATGAATCAGCAATTTAAAAAAATCCTGAAAATTCTGTCTATTACTAAGGCAAAGGTATTAGTAACTATTGATGATTTCTTAGCTAATACTTTATAAAAAATGAATAGATTGGAGGAGGCTTTGGAAAATTATGATTCAGCAATTTAAAAAAATCCTGAAAATTCTCACTATTATATTGGCAAAGGTATTAGTAACTATTGATGATTTCTTAGCTAATACTTTAAAAAAAATGAAAAGATATGAGGAGGCTCTGGAAAATTATGATTTGGCAATTTAAAACAATCCAGAAATTTCTGACTTTTATATTGGCAAAGGTACTAGATACTATTGATTCTTTCTTAGCTATTACATTGAATAAAATGAATAGATTTGAGGAGGCTTTGGAAAATTATGATTCAGCAATATAAAAAAATCCTGAAAATTCTTACTATTATATTGGCGAAGGTATTAGTAACTATTGATGACTTCTTAGCTAATACATTATGTAAAATGAATCGATTTGAGGAGGCTTTGGAAAATTATAATTCAGTAATTTAAAAAAATCCAGAAAATTCTAACTATTATATTGGCAAAGGTATTAGTAACTATTGATGATTTCTTAGCTAATACATTATATAACATGAATCGATTTGAGGAGGCTTTGAAATATTATGATTTGGCAATTTAAAAAAATCTTGAAAATTCTGAATATTACAAAGGCAAAGGTATTAGTAACTATTGATGATTTCTTAGCTAATACTTTATATTAAATGAATAGATTTGAGGAGGCTTTGGAAAATTATGATTTAGCAATTGAAAAAAATCCTTAAAATTCTCACAATTATATTGGCAAAGGTATTAGTAACTATTGATGATTTCTTAGCTAATACTTTAAAAAAAATGAAAAGATATGAGGAGGCTCTGGAAAATTATGATTTGGCAATTTAAAACAATCCAGAAATTTCTGACTTTTATATTGGCAAAGGTACTAGATACTATTGATTCTTTCTTAGCTATTACATTAAATAAAATGAATAGATTTGAGGAGGCTTTGGAGAATAATAAATTAGCAATCTAAAACGATCCAGAAAACTTTAACTATTACATAGGTACTAGTAACTATTAAACTTCTTAGATATTATATAAATTTCTTATTATATGAATAGACTTGAGGAGGCTTTGAAAAATGATGATTCAGCATTTT